AAAGTAAAACTGCAAACCCATTTTGCTGGTGAATGAATATGGGTAATAGATGGTGGTGGATGTGGGTTGTGGATGATGGTGGATGTGGGAGGTGGATGATGGTGGACGTGGGTAATGGATGTGGATGGTGGATGTGGGTGGTGGATGTGGGTGGTGGATGATGGTGGATGGTGGATGATGGTGGGCGTGGGTAATGGATGTGGATAATAGATGATGGTGGATGTGGGTAATGGATGTGGAAGGTGGATGATGGTGGACGTGGGTGATGGATGTGAGTGGTGGATGATGGTGGACGTGGGTAATGGATGATGGTGGACGTGGGTAATGGATGTGGATGTGGGTGGTGGATGATGGTGGATGATGGTGGGCGTGGGTAATGGATGTGGATAATAGATGATGGTGGATGTGGGTAATGGATGTGGAAGGTGGATGATGGTGGACGTGGGTGATGGATGTAGATGTGGTTAATAGATGATGGTGGACGTGGGTAGTGGATGTGGGTGGTAGATGGTGGTGGATGTGGGTGTTGGATGATGGAATATATCAGCATTTTATTTTCACAACTAAGTAGATGGAGATTAAGAGAAATTATGTTTGTACCCAGGGGCGTCACTAGGTTGTGTGTCACTCGGTAAGGTAACTTCTGGTGTCACATCACTTGCAAATAGTTTGGTTCTTCATAATGTATTTAGCTATAACCTGTTAGTAATCCAAATGCATAATGTTATACTTTGTCGACACAATCAGATTTCTTTAAAATATAGACATTTTAGTGTCACCCGATACAGTCTGCATCCCATCCGACGCCTTATGAAACTATTTTAAGAAAAAGATGACATTGGCGGTTGATGTCGTTATAAATCAAGACGTCTCTAGCAGTTGATTTTAGTTTAAATAAAATTTGGTAACTTGATTGAGCTGTTGTTACTTTGTGAATATTGGCCTCAACCCTTTGCAGCCCCATCTTTAATCAAACATTTCCACAACTGCCAATTTTACAATACATAATAGACATGGCGGTTTGATTTTATCAAAAGAGTAGGCCTACCTATACCTACATGGGGCAAAAACAACCTTGACCAAATAATTGTTTATTTCTAATATTCCGACTCCGTTTCATTTTACTTCTTCGATGTGTTGTATGAATGTATGTGTTGCATCTTGATTATCCTTGTGGTACTGCTTGTGGTCTACTAAGATCAAGAACAAAAAGTCTGAAGTAAACACTATATGCATGATTGAGGTTTAGCAGCCAAAAGTAGGAAACGGGTCAAGATTATAGAAGTAGGGTCTACCTTTAGTCTGTATGACTTTTTTTCTCCCCTGACGGGGGGAGTTAATATTCTGGGGAGGGGGGCGGACTCTGGTAAAAGTCAATTTTCTCTCCCCCCCCCCCCATCCCCCCACGTAGAATCGCCTAAAAGAAACTAAATGCGACTTTTGCCAAGTTTGAGCTTAGGTGCAAGGTTTAGGGGTGTAACTACGACTATATTTAGTATCAATGTGCAGTAACAACTTGTAGATCAAGGTTAAATCAAGTTAAAATGCCGATTCTGGATAAAAATCAGTTTTCAATGACATTATTCGTTTCCGGTTAAATTTGAAGTTGAGGTGGTGATTTTGGTTTTTAGAAAAAGACAACACTCAACCTAGCGGCAATTGTATTTCTCCCTCAACGGGCCATTTATCTCGCGTTATTATAATACCACAACAAACACAGAGTAATAGCAATATATCTATACATATAATTCTCTTCTGGGAGACGTTAGAAAACAAGCTGCAAGCGCCTCCTTGCAGTCCCCTCTCTTTCTCTCTATCACCATCACTACCATCCCCACCCCACCCCCACATGGTCTGGTGAGCTGTGGTCACAATAAATGTTTACAAATCGTAGAGGCAGGTTTAGTGACGGCTATTAGAGGCAGATAATTTAGTTTGAAACGATTTTAAATTTCACGGGGGGGGGGGGGGTAGTGTTTTAAAGCAAATATTTTCAGTGGCAGCATTGGTACTGTCGAATTCACAAATTATGAAATACTGAAAAGTAGAAAATAAAACAACTAAATAGCGGCGTATGATACGCCGCGGGTCGGCTCGTTGTATATATTAGAATAACCTGGATTCAAGTTACAATTTCTTTTGTCAATAACACAGTGTTTAAACGCCTGGTGGACATTTACAACATATAGCACAGATATGTGGCGGATTTTAGAACACAAATATTTTAACCCTAATAAATAATTGTCTTTAAATGTCATACAACCATGTACATAATATGTACATATAAAAATGGGGCATAACTCTACAGTACGAAAGAGCTCTGTATGGTCAGTATGGAAGGGTCAAAGTTGAATCAACAGTTGTTTGTGCTCCCTTATATCACTTCTTTGTTTGGTCATGTATGATTAAAGTAAACTGTAAAAAAAAATGCTTCTAAATGTGTTGAAAACTACAAAGTATAAAAACAAACTAGGTTGTGTTAGCATTGGATTAAAAAAAATACAAAAAAATAAATAACATAAAACACATAAAATGTTATCAGTGTAATATTACAATCTTGGGGTAACTACAGTACACTGAAAGTAAAACCTTGGGTGTGACATTACAATCTTGTAGTAGCTACAGTACACTGAAAGTAATGTTTTCAGTGTAATGTTACAATCTTGGAGTAGCTACAGTACACTGAAAGTAACGTCTTGGGTGTGACCTTACAATCTTGAGATAGCTACAGTACACTGAAAGTAATGTTTTCAGTGTAATGTTACAATCTTGAGGTAGCTACAGTACACTGAAAGTAATGTTTTCAGTGTAATGTTACAATCTTGAGGTAGCTACAGTACACTGAAAGTAATGTTTTCAGTGTAATGTTACAATCTTGGGGTAACTACAGTACACTGTAAGTAAAAACTGATTTAAATAGATCTATAGCTCAGGTCAGATGGACAACACTGTCAACCCAGTTTTGTTGAATGTTAACAAAAGTGGGAGGGAAAGAAAAGACATCAACCCTACAATCACACTGAAACTGGTTAACTCTACTTCATTAGCCCCCAACAATGATCAAACTTAACATTCTAACATGAATTCAAAGTTGAGCCATTCTATTAAATAATCTGACAAGTGTTTTTTATGATCATTACAATTATCTTGTTATCACATTTAAAACAAACCAAACTTACATATTTACAGTAAAATTTACACACATACAAACATTTTTTGTACCCTATTTAAAACACAATCTGTTTGAACACCTTTCATTACATCTTTCATTAATCCAAGTCTGCAACAAGTCCAAAGTGCAATTTGCATAATGAATAAACAATCACATTGTTAAGCTTTGTCAGTGTATAAAGTACCTATCACAGTACCCACTTTAGAAACTATTAGCGTTGTACTTCTTTATCACAAAATTGCTTTAATTCTACCAACAGAGAGAACCTTTTTCATTAAAAAAAATAATTCATTATAAATCAAAATGGCATTAATATGACTTATGTAATCAGATACATTTTACCAAATGTCAATTTTCATGTGAAAAGTCATCAATATATTGGCAAGCTTATCAAGTAAGTAAGTCAAGTTCCCATTCAAACCTGACGGGGCAAGTGAAGTAGAGTTCACTTTTTTCTGTGACCTCGGTATATGAAGGGATAGTGTGGTCAGCACTAAGCTCAGCCGCCGGCATGCTTATCAAGTTGGTCAACTTTACCTATTTTAAGTTAGACTTTAACAATTGTTTTGTCTCGCTTGTACATTTTGTTTTCTATCAAATTTTCTAAAAAAATCTCACAGCCAAATGGTTTACACTAAATACAAAGAAAACAAATGAATCCCTTTTTTTGGGACAACAACAATAGAAAAAGTTCACCTTCGACTCAGCACTTATGCAATATGGGATTGACAATTTAAAAAAAAAAAACTCACCGTACTTATGATATTTTTCAGACTCTACATTTGTCTTCTGTATAATGATTATAATGATTATATCCTAAAACCTCATCTTCGTAAATAATTTTTTTTTCACACAGATTTAAAACATTTTAATTTTGTTAATTATTTCTTTGCTTTGTTTTGGGTAAGTAGATAACTAAAATTGACTTCAAAAGAAGCTATAAAACAAATTCTGACTTGAGACAAGGGCAATTTTGTTTTCTTAAATCGAGTATTTATAGACATTAACAAATTATGTACATTATAGCATAATAAAATATATTTCCACAAATTATGACAAAAATAAAGTGCATAAGAATAATTAGTTTGTATTTGTGCATATTTACGCAGTTTTTTATTGTGCAGTTTTCTAATTGCCCATTTTTCTAGAAACCATTGATAGCATATCTGACAAATTATACTGTTTTGATGTCAACGGTTACTTGGCTGTGGTCACAACCCAGATTTTTTAATATTTAGAAAACAGACCAAAATAAAACATTAAAAAAAATTAAAACATATTATAAATCCTAGACCAAAATAATTTTAAAATGATAAAAATAATTTTGAAATAGGCCAAAAGGATTATATAATTCAACTAACTGTATTTCCACTCCTAGATTATGCTTCTTATAGAAACTTAGATGAAAAGCTATATGAAGTATAATAATTTCAATAAAGTCACTTTTTACTTAAGCTGTGCATTTCTTTCTAAGAGACAAAGCTAACAAATAATTATGAAATACTAATAAATATTAGGATTTAACTTCGTTTCTTCATTTCGAGCAAATAATAAATTTATCCTAATTAAAACCTTATACTAAGAAAGTTGAGCTGGCAAAAGTTCATTGTTTTTTCTTTGTGTCAGCAGTCATAAAATAATCTTGTAAACAGCCCTACAAGTTTATACACATTGAGCCAACACAGATGCTTTTTTTTTTCACTATATCCTGTTGCAGATGGACATGAGTGGAAAGCCTATGTCAATTGTCTTGATACTGGAAGTCCTCAAACACTTTCTATGTTTTTACCCTATCCACAGTTTGTATTGCAGCATCCACGATTTTCCTTCATTGAACATTACTGTTGATAACTCCATTACCCACCAAAGCATTGGTCACACTTTCCATGTTCACACTCAGGTTGTTAATGAAGATGTTTCTAAAGTAGAAAACAAAATGAGGAAAAATTCTATTTTTTTTTAAAAGACGTTCAAAGTAAAAAAAAAAATGATGTTAAGGTGTATTATCTCTGAAAATTTGAGATAAGCCCCAAACTTTTTAAACATGTTGAAAAAAAAAAGTAAGGTGTATAAGTATAACGGACAAATAGCCTACTTAAAAGTTTATTGATGTTATTATTGATTAAATAATTCTTAAAATATTGTATTTTTTAAAATAAAGTAAAATGAAAAAACAACGGGGGTAAGTATTATTTTATCGCAGATTAAGTTCAAACTACCTTGCTATATTTTATTTTTCATATGAGGATGTCTTTCAAAAATTGTTCACTTAGTTCAAATTCTGTTTTTGTATATTTTGTAAATCTCTTTGCATAAAGTTTAAAATTCTGTCTCAATACATATATCTATTTAGGTTTGACCTAGAATAAATAAAATAAACTATAACATAACACTTACAAACTTGTATCCTTCTGCATCAGAGCTTTCCTCTCCATGATGCTGGGTGGCTGAGAAAAAAGGCTGAGAATTTCCACTGCTTTCTCGCCTAGAGTTGACTCCATAAGATGTTTGATCAAAATTTCAGCCAGGGCGCTACATGAACCTTGTTTCTTGCCATCCCCGCTGGATAAAACTACCTGAGGTATGTTTTCTTTGACTGAGCTTGAAGGGTGTTCTGTGTCAACATTTGGTGGATCAGCAGGATGAAGACTCTGGGGTTCTATGGTGGCTGATGGTGGGTTGGCTTGAATGTGGTCATCACCTTCGGTGCACATCTCCATTGGAGTTTCTTCTTCAACCAACTCTGGGGAAATATTTAAATAATATTATATTAAATGTGACAAATAATAATAAAATGGTAGTTGCCTCTGGTACTTGTAAAAATGCAGGAAGGCTATGATTTTGTGTATGTATTGGTAACCTAATCGAATTAAGAAATATCTGGACAATAAGGAGTCACCGGAGTCTAAAATTGTCAGAGCAAAGGTTATCTGAACAGGATTTACAGAAGGATTAAATAGGAGTCAGTGTACAAAACATTAAAGAATAAGAGCAAAGGAGATAAAAAGGAGTCTCACAAGCAATAGTTAAGCATTGATGAGTCTTACAGAAAATGAGTCACAATAGTCTAAAAAAGCTATTTACAAGACAGCTTTCAGCCAGCTACACATTGCCCTTTAAATGTTTAAAGTAAAGCACCCTTTTACTTTCCCTATTGAGAGTCAGGTACCCATCAGAGCTGGGTGGACTCCAGCCCAAAATTCGAACTTGTGACTTTTGAGTTAGCTGTCAAATGCTCTACTATTCAACCAAGCCGTCCCTACATCTTAAATGTTTATAACAGGTAAATTACCTTTCAGAAAAACACAGGCCATCTGCGGTTCCTGAGCCTGTCTCTTGATGATAGGAATGTTGAACTTAACAAAAACCTCTCTAGAACAAGAGGATGTTGGGATGTCTGTCTGCCAGTTCCTAGGGGCAGACTCTGTCAAAATAATAATGTAAACATTATTATCATCCAGAAACTGAAGAGTCAGTTTCCAAAACATTTTTTGATGTTTTTATATATAAGGGTGTTTTAAATCAAGTAATCCTTACAGGTAGGCTTATATTATATTAGTGAAACGTCATGTATATATATATATATATATATATATATATATATATATATATATATATATATATATATATATATATATATATATATATATATATATGATTCAATTTTTGCAAGACTTCATTCATTAAAATCAGTTTTTAGCATTTCTTAAAAATGTTGATTTTCTAAAAATTATCTATTACTTGTCACTTTTTCAACTTTGTTACAATAAAACATTATTAAATTTATTTCCCATGTATCAAAATTAAATGAGGATTCTAATCAATTTTAAATTGCTTTTTACAGAAAATGGAGTGAAGAGTGAACTCTTTTGTTTTTTTAATTTTGTTACTTGATAAATAAAATTTGGAAAACAACCTTATAAATTTTTAAATTTTAAAAGCTTAAGATTTAAGATGAGTATTACTTTGGTTTGAAATATTAAATATTTTAAAATAATTATACACTATCTAGTATCAAATAATTTTTAATGAGTTGTGCCCCTTGGACCATCAGAAATGGATTAATCTTGCGCAGTAAAAGAAAGCTGTAAATGTAAAATGGATAACAAGACTGGAATTATTTACATAATGGTACAGGAGAATAATGTTAAGGTAATTACGTCAAGATATTGATTAGGAGAAAACCGAATTAATTAGGTCAAGATATTAATCGGGAGTAAACTGAATTAATTAAGTCAAGATATTGATTAGGAGACAACTGAATTAATTAGGTCAAGATATTGATTAGGAGACAACTGAATTAATTAGGTCAAGATATTGATTAGGAGACAACTGAATTAATTAGGTCAAGATATTGATTAGGAGACAACTGAATTAATTAGGTCAAGATATTGATTAGGAGACAACTGAATTAATTAGGTCAAGATATTGATTAGGAGACAACTGAATTAATTAGGTCAAGATATTGATTAGGAGACAACTGAATTAATTAGGTCAAGATATTGATTAGGAGACAACTGAATTAATTAGGTCAAGATATTGATTAGGAGACAACTGAATTAATTAGGTCAAGATATTGATTAGGAGACAACTGAATTAATTAGGTCAAGATATTGATTAGGAGACAACTGAATTAATTAGATCAAGATATTGATTAGGAAGTAAAACTGTGAATCAACCAGCTGATGGTGTAACAATAGACTTGGTTATCCCCCTTGTTACAGACATAAGTAAGACAAGTAGTAATAAGTATGTCACAGGATATTTTTAGTATAATGTGTGTGAGCTATCAAGTAGTCTACTAAATATGTAAGCAAATCTATGACAACCTGTAAAGTAACCCTTTCACCACAGATGGTTAATAAAACATGAAGTAGAGCTCATCTTTTTTTTTTTAACCCAGTCAAGTACAAACAAGGCTTACTGGCCACTAAGTAAGGGGTCATTCATGAGAGACTTCAAACTCCTAGTTAGAAAGGGAGGTTCAGAATTTTGTGAAGATGTGTGAAAAGGGGGAGGAGGGATGAGAAAACAAATTTTTGCATTTTGAAAAAGTAAAGCTAGAAACAGAATTTCAGCTTTTTAAAAGGCATTTTTTTTGTAAACTGCCATAGAGGTTGATTAAAATACTCAACATTGACAGAACTTAAAAAATATTTTAGAAAAAATCAAAACAAAAAAAACTAATTTTAGGGGGTGGGTGGTCTGGCTTTTTGTGAATGATTTCTGACAATGGGGAGGGGTAGAGGTAAGAATAGGGAGAAAAAACATGACGGGTGACCCCCCTAACAGAAGTTGAAGATAAATTGAGGAAAAAATTGAATAAAATTACCTTTTTGACTAAATTGATCAGGTTGGCATTGAATGTTTAAATTTATATTCTTGAAGCCCTCCGGTTTCAATTTTGGTATATTGTACGTAACATGAGAAATTTCTCCATTCTTTTTCAAGTACTGAATTTCAACACTTGCGCCCTTGGCTGAGCTGTGGATCAGTGTTGAGATACACAGTACTTCATCCACAGAGTCTACTTGATATTCACAGTGTAAATTCAACAGGTGAAGGTCGGCTAACAATAAGTCGTAATATAAAACATATTTTATTTTTTCACGCCACTCTATACTTAAAGGTTGTTTCGACCGAGCTCTTGCTTGAAGAAGTTCAGGATCCACCTCCCTGGATGCCAGACAAGGCTGAATTAAGGCAGTGAGAGCCTGCTGATTTGCATGCAGTCGCTCAGGGTTACTCGTTTTGTTCAGTGTTAGCTGAAGAGCATCATTGAGGGATTCTGAAATTTTCAATATATTTTGTATTAAAATATATTTGATACACAACTATACTGTTAAAACAATTATCATAAGGTATAACATTCTACTTGATATATTAATTATGATGCCTCAAGTATAACTACAAGAAATTTGATTTGATATTTCTTATTTAAAAAAATGAAATAGGTTCTATATCTTCATTTAATTATGATATCTTAAGGGTAGATGAAAAAAAAAAGATTACAACTATGAATAAGAATAAATTAGTATTTTTATAACAATAAGAAATATAAATGTAATAAATGAAAAGGTTATTTTGGCAATTGATCATCTTTTCAGTTAGATATTTATCATCATACGCCGCTATTTAGTTGTTTTATTTTCTACTTTTCAGTAATTCATAATTTGTGAATTCGACGGTACCAATGCTGCCACTGAAAATATTTGCTTTAAAACACTAACCCCCCCCCCTTTCCCCTAACCCCCCCCCTACACCCTCTCCCCCCCCCCCCCCCCCCCGTGAAAGCAGCCTCCTCTTAGTTATTTCTTAGGTACCTCCTGTAAGTTTAAAATCGAACAAAATTATCTGCCCCTAATAGAAACCCAGCTCTACGATTTGTAAACATTTAGAGTGAACACAGCTCGCCAGACAATGTGGGGGTGGGGGTGGTAGTGATAGTGATAGAGAGAAAGAGAGGGGACTGCAAGGAGGCGCTTGCAGCTTGTTTTCTAACGGCTCCCAGAAGAGAATTATATATATATAGATACCTGAAGTAAAAACATGATAAATTTGTGGATCTAGGCGCAGCCCGCCAACCAGCAAAGCTTTGTCAAAGTTTACCAGGAACATGACTGTGACATGGCTAGTTTTGTGTGAGAGAGGAACTTTTAGCTCTTTATTTAGTGACAATCCTGGAGAATCTGGGGACAGAGAAAGGAACTGTAAGAGAGGAACTTTTAGCTCTTTATTTAGGGAGAAAGGAACTGTAAGAGATGAACTTTTTGCTCTTTATTTAGTGACAATCCTGGAGAATCTGGGGACAGAGAAAGGAACTGTAAGAGAGGAACTTTTTGCTCTTTATTTAGGGAGAAAGGAACTGTAAGAGATGAAATTTTTGCTCTTTATTTAGTGACAATCCTGGAGAATCTGGGGACAGAGAAAGGAACTGTAAGAGAGGAACTTTTTGCTCTTTATTTAGGGAGAAAGGAACTGTAAGAGAGGAACTTTTAGCTCTTTATTTAGTGACAATCCTGGAGAATCTGGGGACAGAGAAAGGAAAATTAAGAGATGATCCTTTTAAGGGAAACTTTAAACTCATTTATTTTCAGGGAAAGACCTGGAGAATCTGTGGAAAGATGAGTTAAATAGAAAAATACATCTTTACTTGTAAAGGAATCATGTCATCAATTAATTCTATTCCAGCTGCTTTTACAGATATATAACAGCTATCTATTAGAGAAGGTGGATTCATGGACATCATGATATTGGGTACCAAACTCCATGACTATGACGCTAGCGATGGCATACAAAGGTGAGTACAGGTTATTAAATCAATTATACACAATCAATTATATATTCAAATATCAGAGTGTAGATTATTCTTCAATAATTTAAAGGATAACTTCTATGTCCTTAACATAAACCTACCTGTGTGCAACACGTCCTCCAAACGTCTGCACATGTTGATTTCAATATCCTCAAAATGAATCTTCTTTAATTTTTTAATTTCATAATTGACAAAAGAGACTGTGTTGTCTTGTTTGAGAAATCTTACTTCAATGTTGGTTCCAGAAGGGGATGAGCTAATGAGGGTCAACACATTTTTGATTGCCTCCTTAGAGTTGGCATCGTACTGACATGAAATGTTACACTCATACTGATTGGCCAGCAATAAATCGTAACGGAAAAGTATATTTTTCTTGGGTGTTATGGCTCGTCTATGTCTAGCAGCTAGAAATTGATTGCGAGTGCCTGAACTGGGTGACGTTCGCTGTTGATTTTCAAGTGTGGAGTTGTGTATTGGTTGTAGAGATGGAGAGTATGACTGCATTTTGAATTACATCAATGGAGGTTTACAACAAGATTTCTACAGCTCTATCTGAAATAGAAACCAAATCAATAAAACATTATTCAACAGGCTCTATAAATAAACTTAATTATAATCATACATTATTATTTAAATAAGTTTCAACATCAAAGATTAAACGTTGATTTTTTTTTCATTGGTAATTAATAGTTCAATATGTTATTGTTACTATTTGTTAATTAAATTAATTAAAAGTATCATCTTCGTTAATAGAATATAATGTCTCCCTGTGCTATCATGACCAATTAAACCCTCACATGAAAATGGAATAGTTAATAAAAGATAACAGAAAAATTATACTAATTAGTAAGCCAACTACTTCACTAAGATGTCATAATACTACTGGTGTACTTTAGCTCTGATGGGTACCTAACTCATGTTAGCGATAGTTAGTTTTCTGGGCAAAGTGCTAACCACATTATCTCTACATATACCGAGGTCATAAAACATATGAACTGCACCAGCTAGGTCTAAAAAGGAATCTTAACTTAACTGGTGTACTTTGTAACTACTGCTAAGTAATTCAGTAAACTAAGAAGGGGGTATTATTAAGCTAGGGGTGTGACACCTAAGGATAATAGGCTCCAATCAGCACCCCACCCATATAAAACCAACAATAAAACTACTTATCTACTTCTAGGGTAAAAAACAAATGTTGTTCACAGACAAGCAGAGTATTCATCTTACGTCATTTATGACCAAATAGGCCCAACAGGGAATAGATAAAACATAAACTAATCCCACCGGTCTCTCCGCAAAATTTCTTACTTCACTAAAACCATTATGTGAACTTTTTTGGACAAACCTCATTTGAAATGAACCACATGACTTTTTCAATGTCTTTAAGCACTGATTGCTGTAAGTGTTAACACAATTTTGTAACTATAATTACAATAGTTTTATTTTGGTGAATTTTTTCCGACAGTGAATTTGTTTGGTCAAATTAATTGGATGACATTTGTCAGGATTTGCCATGCTATGATGTTTTTATTAATCTGATGACATACCTTTGTTGATCAACATCATAATGATTTTATTTGTTAGGCTAAATGTAAATAATTCCATAAGCAGTGTCCACTAGCTTGCATTTTAGAACAGTTTTTAAATAACAGTTTTTGTTATGATGTTCCTAATGACTAATGCATTAGATGCATGCTTATCATTGAATCCTTTATTGTGCCAATAAATCATCTCTACTCCCCACCTTTTTATAACCCAACATGAAACTTCTAATCATTCTGGAGGTAACTTATACATTATATAGATCTATACCCAGAAGACCATCATGGTCAAGCAAAGAGGAGATCAAAGGGGATTCAATATCTCTGATCTCCCCACAAAATTTCTCACCTCCATTAATCATCAATCATTCAATATCTCTGATCTCCCCTCAAAATTTCTCACCTCCATTAATCATCAATCATTCAATATCTCTGATCTCCCCTCAAAATTTCTCACCTCCATTAATCATCAATTTAATGCTAGTCTTGAGTTTGGGTTTTGGGCTCGAGTCTGTAGTTCACCACTGAGTCCACCCAGCTTTAATGGGTACCTAACTCACGTTAGGGAAACAAATGCGACTCGGCATTTTACTGACCACTCATTGAGTCATTAGTCATTATGCCTTGTATGTTGAGGTCTTTGAAACAGATGAACTCTACTTCATATATGACATATAGGCTATAGTCTATAGAGGTGGCTGAGGAACTTTGCCTACAAAATTCAAAACAGTTTGGAAATGTAGCTTTGGGTGCAAATACCATAGCCCGCCATGTTGCAGATATTGGTGAAAACAGTGTGACTCAAATTGCGAAAAATGCATGTAAGTTTAGCCATTTTTTAAATGCAATGGATGAATCGCTGGACAGCTGTTCCACCTTTCAACTGCTTGTGTTCATTAGAGGTGTGGATGAAGACCTGAACATAAAATAAGAGCTGGTTTCCCTTCAAAGCACGAATGACACTGTTACCTGAGAGGATATATTTAATGAGTTAAAAAAACATTTGCTGATCATAACTTGGACTGAACTAACCTCAGTTACCTGACTGTTGATGGAAGAAAGGACATGAGTGGCATAAACAAAGGCTAGTTTGTACAAGTGAATGAGAAAAACATTCTACAACCGATGTTCCTGCACTGTATTATTCATCCGTAAGCTTTGTGTGCTAAATATGTGGATATTAGCAGTGTACTGAATCATGTGGTGAAGATGGCGAATTTAATAAGGTCACATGGGCTCAACCATAGATAGTCCAGAGACATGTTGAAAGATACAAATACAAAATCGCTAGATTTACGATATTACACAGTAGTAAGATGGCTAAGTTGCGAAAGAGTTCTGAGCAAATATGTGACTTCCTGAAAAGTAAAGGCAAGCCACAGCTATTAATGTCTGATGAAGAGTGGGTACAGAAATTGGCCTTTGCTACAGACATAACTAGTCATTTAAATTTTCTGAACCTAAAACTCCAAGAGAGGGGAATCTAGTTTCTGATCTATACACCCACTTAAAGGCCTTCAGCTCCAAACTTGTCATGTTTTTGGAACAAGTACAAGGCCAACAACTTGACGCATCTCAGCAGTGCATTGTCTTTACGGCTAAGTAACCACTGAGTTCCCTACATCATTTACATGCGAGATCATCAAAGACCTCCAGCTGCAGTTTCAGCAGTGGTTTTCTAGAGTGAATTACGTGAAGAATAATTCGAGAACAAACTTGGACCTCAAGTGTGTTGTTGGTCCCCAACAGTGTTAAGATTTTTTTGCCGGGGGGGGGGGGGGGGGGGGGAACTTCACTAAAATTTGTATATATTTCTATATAAATAATATTTCGTTGGGGGGTTAGACGTTTTTTGTGCATGGGGGGGGGGGGGGGCTCCACTACCCGAAGAGATGACTTGAGGAAACTCTGGCCCCAAACTGATATTTGATGGCTAATGCAGCCCTGGGGCTAAAAAGTTTGGAGACCCCCTAGTCTAGTCTAAGACTACAGACTAGTCTAAGACTAAGAGCAGTAAGACTGGTCTAGAACAGTCTAGAATCTAGAGTTTTCTAACAGTTCAGTGTAAAAAAAACTATTAGACATAATTAGATCTAGTAACACGTTACTTCATCAAAACTTTCCATTTTCCAATTCATATAGGCCTATCTATTATAACATTATCATTATAAATTATATAGATTCTATAGGGCATAGGCCTATCAGTATCAAATCAATATTTTTTATTTAGGCCTAGCTAGACTCTATTTATTAAATTATTAATTATTCAATCACAATCAATCAAGCACTAAAAATCTAAAAACACTCATTTTCATAAGGACTACTGCTAGTCTAAGTCTAGATCTATTTAATTTAGATCAACCAGTCTGTATACCAGATCTTAAATATTTAGACTTTCACACTTCAAGGTAAAGTGTGTTACGGTGATTGTTGAACAAAAACAGATCCAGATCTGCTGTGGTCGATGTTACCTGCGAATGATTGTTATGAAAAGGAAATGGCTACTTGTTCTAAAAACAGCACAAATTGGGGAATCCCCGAAGAAAGAGTGGCCTATTTACCAAGTGTTAGCGGGAATTAAAAAGTGAAGCAATATTTTGGTAAAGGATTATCAATCTTTAAGTTAGTTGAAAGAATTGATAAAGATAAAATATAGCCTAACTACTTTTTAAAATATACATATGCCTAAATAATAAATATAGATCTAGACCTAATTATAATTTGATCTAAAAGAATTCGAAAGACGATATATTTCACTTTTAACTTGGAAACCAGTGTTTTTTCTTAAAATAAAGATAAGTGTGGTCTAAAAAAAACGTAAAAAACAGGTATGCAGATATTATATTATAGATAAACATTTTTTAAAAATAGGAAATATACAAAAAACTTTGTAAACCATGATTTAAATTTCATGAATGCAGAAAAAAATGTATTAGCGAAGATGCTATTATACTAGACAGCATGTTTTATTTTCAGTGTTTTTTACAAGCTTTTTTATTTTTTAATTATTAGGCCTATATTATATCGGTAGAACGAGGTAAGTAAATAAGTGGTCCATCTGAGGGATGATGTAGTCTTCAAATGTTTCTGTGACCCACGCATACGAAGCTATGTGTGGGCATCCTTGGTGAATGGTGGTGAGTGGATAGATGGACGGTGGTTAGTGGATAGTTGAATGGTGAAATAGCTTTCTATCTTCAGAGTTTCTTTCAGGCATCTCTTTGGGAGAGGGGGAGGTGGACAATGTCCCCACGAAGAAAGTCTACCGCCCCGCCCCCTCCGAACAAGATGGAATATATATGGAAAACATAATTTATACTTTTACCTGTGTCCGCGCCCCCCCCCCCCCCAAATGTAGTCAGGTGCCCCTAACCCACCCCCACTCCTAGAGAAAAAAAGTCTGGAAGAAACACTGGCTTTCTAAACTCTAAACCAATAGTATAATATCTGCTTCTAAGACCGTTATCGGCTCTCATCTGTAGAAAAATCCGCGAACAAAATCTCACTTCATTCTCCTGCTGACAGATGGCTGTTACATGATAAAGCTATCAGCACTATTGTTACTCAATATAGTGATCTGTAAATACATCCTAAATTTATTATATAATGATATTGAAATGAGATATTCTTGCATTGTCATCGGGAATTAAATTTATCTGGGACGTGTGAAAGAGATTGTTAAATGGGTCAAAGTTGAATTCAAATGTTTGATCACACACCCACGGTCGACATTGTGACCTTAGAAAACCTTATAATAATAAAGAAATAAAAAAAAATGTTTGTAAGAAAAACATAGAACATTTTGTTTGTCATTGAAACTAATAGAAACAGAAAATACATGGAAGCTAAATTATCAGTGAAACTCTCCAGCCTATTATAGAAAATGTATGCTATTCTTCCTGTATACAGCAAATATATTTTGTATAACGCAAGTGCTTATATACATATTTTTAAACGTATGCTGTATATTGTGGGCAG